GTAAAAAGGTTTCTAAATTTTTTATGTGTATCAGAGACACTGATAGCATCAATTTACATCATTCTAATTTTCAATCAGATGTCTGTGATTCTTGTTAAAGAGATTGTAAAGAGGTTTACTAAATTTTTTATGTGTATCAGAGACACTGATAGCATCAATTTACATCATTCTAATTTTCAATCAGACGTCTGTGGTTCTTGTTAAAGAGATTGTAAAGAGGTTTTCTAAATTTTTTATGTGTATCAGGGACACCATTCTAATTTTCAATCAGACGTCTGTGATTCTTGTTAAAGAGATTGTAAAGAGGTTTTCTAAATTTTTTATGTGTATCAGGGACACTGATAGCATCAATTTACATCATTCTAATTTTCAATCAGACGTCTGTGGTTCTTGTTAAAGAGATTGTAAAGAGGTTTTCTATATTTTCTATGTGTATCAGAGACACTGATAGCATCAATTTACACCATTCTAATTTTCAATCAGATGTCTGTGATTCTTGTTAAAGAGATTGTAAAGAGGTTTTCTAAATTTTTTATGTGTATCAGGGACACCATTCTAATTTTCAATCAGACGTCTGTGATTCTTGTTAAAGAGATTGTAAAGAGGTTTTCTAAATTTTTTATGTGTATCAGGGACACTGATAGCATCAATTTACATCATTCTAATTTTCAATCAGACGTCTGTGGTTCTTGTTAAAGAGATTGTAAAGAGGTTTTCTATATTTTCTATGTGTATCAGAGACACTGATAGCATCAATTTACACCATTCTAATTTTCAATCAGATGTCTGTGATTCTTGTTAAAGAGATTGTAAAGAGGTTTTCTAAATTTTTTATGTGTATCAGGGACACTGATAGCATCAATTTACATCATTCTAATTTTCAATCAGACGTCTGTGATTCCTGCAATTCCACTAAAACTAAGCAATTATGTTAAAGGGATTGTAAAGAACCACAGATCAAACGAATTCTGCACCTATATTAGGCTTATAAAGACAGACAATGTCATGCAGTGTGCAATGAGGGAAATTTGCCAGGACAGTGACATTAGCCTGCCCTTCTTGATTTCCAACTGTCGGGGGATGTTTTATGTGTACAGCCTGTAGTAAACGGGGCCTCAGTTTATTATCCCATCTGAACAACTAGACATTTTTTCCATTACCTACATCACTAACAGGGGGAAACCAGGTTGAAAAATCATCTCAAATAAACAATGAGAAGAGAAGACTACTAATAATCTTACCAGTGAAGAGAAGGGAATAATGTAAACAATAAATACAACTATTATAGCTACAAGTTGACTCAACCATCGATTAGACGCGATTCTTCTAGACAAAACTTTTAAACCTTTCGGTGAACACTGAAAAATACAAAAATACAATCAAATTTAACCCTTTTAACACTGAAAAATACAATCAAATTTAACCCTTTTAACACTGAAAAATACAATCAGACACATTTTATTTGAAAAATCTTAAAGGGACAGGTAGGCCATATTTTCATCAATCGTACCTTAGTCTCATAAACGGGAGTTTTTTTTAGCTGAGACCAACGTTTAATTCTTAATTTAATCTGTACCTACTTTGGCTAATGAATAAACAAGCCAAGTTCCAACGATCCGAACTGCCAACCGAAACATAATTGGGCTAATGAAATGAAATGGAGTTTTACATCCTACTCTCTGAACCTATTTGAGCTAATGAAGACAGGTTAATAAAGATAGTGGACCACAGCCATATACGTCCACCACGGCATGTGGTAAATATTCAAGAATTTTTGGCAAGGGCAATAACTCTGCTTCCAACGGTCGAAAATAGCTCAAATTCGAACTTGATCTTCGTTTTATTAATATGTATACACATATCGAATTTCATTTGATTTCATCAAAAAATCTAGTTTTTAGAGCGTTTACAAGCAAATGTTGACGGATGGACGGACAGGGGTCCCGACAATATAGAGACAGGTTAATAATAAAAGTTAAACCTTACCGAGAATGATTCAGATAAAACAAACAGTAGTAAAAGTAGAATTATCACAGCACCAACAGGAAATAACCAAATACTCAAAATAGATCTGAAAATATAAATCAAAACAGTCATATATCATTACATTGTAGACCTACTACATTCCTTATCTCGGGCAAAGTGGGAACTTAGCTATATGAAAATATTAGAGGGGTTTTTTGCAAAATTTTCATTATTAAAATAGTCCTTCAAGATACGATTGGTCAAACTGATGACGAACTTGTCCCTTTAAGGTACATGAACGGTCTTGGTTGCTGATTTTTGTTGTCGACTAGGGTCTTGTCAAGAGTTTCAACGATTGACTGTGGGTACATGAGGAGACAAAAATCTCCAGTGGGTTGTTTTCCACTATGTTGATAATCACATGAAGATCATGTAATTGAAAGGAAAATGAATCTGATTGGATGATGATGGTCTGTCTTTCAGATGATAAAAATATCAGAGACAATTATCAAACTTGTTTAATATTATAAATCCTGTCGGTGACACGATAATCTTGTCGTGGAAGCACTGGCACATGGGAGATTTTACTCAAAACTCTAATCAGCGACAAAAATCTCCGACCATGACTGTGACTGCTCGTGTGTCCGCACCTTTAACTATATATTTAGCTTTAACTAATAAGCTATATTACTGTTAATCTATTAATGA